TCATTTGTCAAGAAATTTGTGGTCAGAAGGAATCCATTGACCAACACGGTAAGGTTTGGAGCTTATGATTATGTAGCATGTAGTTCGCGGCTTGTTTTGCTCCTAAATGATATAATCCTTTTGAATGGTCTGCTTTTAACTGTAATATCGATTTCATCGCGCAAGCGTAAATGACGCTGAAATGCGTGTGCCTGATAAAGGATAAAAGCGTTTTGTCTAGATGACAGGAATTAATTGTATCTTCCAGCTTGATAAAGGATAAAAGCGCTTTGTCCAGATGACTCGTAAACTTCTTTCTCACAAGCGTTTTCTGAGTTTTAGAAATGATTTAGCAATCCAAGCAAGTTTTAAAAATGATTTAGCAATCCAAGTAAGTTTTAGAAATGATCTAGCAATCCAAGCAAGTTTTAGAAATGTTATGCTCACACGTTATAACAAGGTTAGTTGAAAGAAAATCTGAAATGGAAAAGAAGCGTTTTTTGAATTTTAGAAATGATTTAGCAAAACTTAAGGAGGTGGTCCTGCCTAATAAAGGATAAAAAAGCTTTATCCAGAGAACAGGCCTCTTTCATACCGTGACCATCAACAGGTTGTTGAGGATTGGCCTCCGTCGGCAATGTGCGGGAGTGTGAAAGCCATATCCTATGTTCCGCTTGAAATAAACAAACTAAAACATTTTGGAGACGTCTACGTGCAGATTATCTTATCGGAGTATACAGGAATAAGGGAATTACCATGTTTCAATCACTCTCTGAAGGATCATTTTCACTTGAACTGTAGATTACGATAAACTGAAGCGGTTCACCGAAATAGACACTCTTTGCTGTCTGTTTAACTTTGATTGAGAATCAGCGATGAAATATCGAAATGCTATTTTCAAACATTCCTGCTAACAACATCACATTCCAAACAATGCCTTCTCACGAAGAAAAAAAGCTTAGTTCTTAGTGCACCTGACAAGGTTATTTCAATCCAAGCATCGTCAATCAATGTCAGTTTAGACAAGTATAAGATATTACATGCTTGTACGTTGGTATTTCAAAGCCTTTTTGTTTCTGCAAACCCAATAGTTCAAATAAACACGTCAATATTGCGTAGACATTGACATGCAGCACTTTTCCTTAATAAGATTGCTTATGTGGAAAAGCGTTTTGGTGACCACTGATCTAGCCTACGCATGTAGCTGTACCCTCCCCTCCCCTCCCCCCCCCTAAGGTAAAACGGAGGTAAGGTAAAGTCTGCCCAAACCTGACACTAATCGTTTTCCGTGACGTCACTCTTTTGCAAGAAAATGTATAATGACTTTTTATTAGTTACCTCTCTTGCTGAATCTTTTGTCAATTCAGATTGGCTAGAGTTGGTAATTTATTTTCAAACTAAGAAACCAAACGGTAGACAAAATTCTTTCATGGTCAACTTTTCAGACAACAGTGATTTACGACAAGGTTTTAAGGCAAGTTTGAGCGACTTTTGGGATAGAGTCATCTCACGAAGAACAGCAGAAAGTCATAGATATGTTTTTGGAAGGTATCGATGTCTCCATTTCGTTACCAACTGGCTATGGAAAATCTTTAATATATCAAGAAACGCCAGTGATCGATCGCCTCTCTTCTCTAGAAGAAACTGGTACCATATCTATTGTGCCTCCCGTTAAAGCTCTCGCAGAAGATCAGGTGCACTATCTTAATGTACTTGGGCTACGAGGATCGTCCACCTTCAACCTTCGGTCTTTTTGCGAACGGTGCTGCGAATTTATTAAGACCGTGTCCGGCTGCCGGACGTTTAGTCACTAAAATTAAAGGTAGTTGTTTCTTGCATCGATTCTTTCGACTGAGAAAAGAGTCGCTCTTTCCTCACGCTTGCAGCGTAACTATCTCTTAAAGAAATATGTAAGAACCTTGAGACTGCGGCAAATGATCCAACTTTTTTCGTCGACCGTGGCACTGTTTACAAATGCAAGCAGAAACCGCGTGGATTTCGTAAACGCGATGCTAATCGAACTTAATCCTCTTCTTACTCTAAACCAAAAATCGCTCATAATCTTTTCCTATATCCTTAAAGCAAAATATTTATTGAAATCGGACGCTGAATTGCAAATTTACCAGAAAAATGGAAAATGAATTCACTTTAGTGTTGTTATTTATCTCGATAACCGTCACGCTAACACGTGCCACTTCGCAAAAATGGCATTATTTTGCATTAATTGGAATGAAGTCACTGAACACGAAAAGTGTCAGGTTTACGTAAACGTTCCGTCACCTCCGTTTCACCTGGGAGGTGGGGGAGGGTAGGGCTACACGTAGGCTACTGATCAAACTTCTTCTGGACACACCCAAGAGACTGGACAAATAGTCATAGAAACTTCCTTGGGCTCCGTGTGAATGGCCGAATTTTCAACTTTTCATGGGTAGTACATTGTATGTTGCTTTAGACATGATGTCCAGAACTTTGTGGGTTTAATTAATTAATTAGTTTATTTTAATACTGCCAATATTTAACCAGGCTGGCCCAGTTCAGGAGCAAAATAGTTTAAATATGGGCCTTATGCAAACAAAGTTTACCAGAAGGGGTCATTGGGCCAAATGAGAAGATACTCGCTATTTCATTTTTTCGGCCGTTTCTCGATGTTTCAAATCAATGCTCATAAGTGTTAAATTCTTGCCGGATAAACTTTTTTCAATTCATTGTAATGAGATTTTTAAAGATAAAAGTTCATAAAAAGCTCCACTCAGGTCGTCACGACGCCACCCCAGATAGGGAGGGGGATCCGCCTCGGGATGTTTGGCGGAGATTATCTACCCAGACCCTTTTTCAGATAAAAGAAGTGCTATTTCTATATTTAGTTTAGTACCTGGCCTCTAATATCTATACCAGACAAATTTTGCTTGGTTTGAGAATCCTTTACGCTATGTTGTAGAAGAATTTGAAAAGGCTTGTATCAATGCCGAAGTTAAGAAGTTACAAAAATCACCCAAAAATATATTTTTCATAATTGTGTTTCACTTTGATTCATGTTGAAAAATTATTTACGTTTATACACTTGTGTGGCTTTCTTGAAAACTATACCTAATTTTAAACCAAAATGGTAAAAATGTACATCGACCTGTCTTTGTACCAGAACGGCTTAAAAACCACATATATGGGGCACCATATACCTCTATGACTTATTTGTTGGAGTACCCCTTTTCAACTATCTCGCAGATTAAGTGTTAACGTCGTAAACTCAAACCATCGTTGATAATGACAAATAATTTTTTCCACAAGTTGGCAAGATTCCGAAACGGTCACAATTAGCTTCCAACAATTAGCCTACATTAACTTAGTAATTTAGTACTATCAGCTGACTTGATAGCGCAAATTGGCAACTGTTAAGAGTTTAAACGCTTTTGAACTGAACTCTTTAAGGTGGCTAATTTACGTTATCAACTGAATTGATAACACTAAATCACCCTGTCATACTCTCCCACCGACGCAACACCACAGTTTCTTTAAAAACTTACCTCCTTTATGCATTAACTTATGATAGACTCGCTTTTCAACAACCTCCAATCCAGAGCGGAAAATAACCCGCACGACAGAAACATCTTACTAGAACTTCAACGTGCCAGATCACATCTTAAAAAAATCATGTTGATTAAAACTCAAGGTGCAATCCTAAGAAGCAAAGTAAGATGGCATGAAGAAGGAGAACGCAACTCTAAGTACTTCTACAGCTTAGAAAAACGACATCATGATATTAAAACAGTCTCAAAACTCAAAGTTGGGGATAATTGTTATATAGAAGATCAATTCGATATCTTAGAAGAAGAAAAAAAGTTCTATGAGTCGTTATACCGCTCCACCAATACCAACCCCGAAAATTTTAAAAACTCGCCTTTTTTTATTCCAGAAAACGTAACCGCACTAAGTGAAGAAGAAAAGAATTCTTGTGAAGGATTGGTAAAGGTAGAAGAATGCCAAAATGCACTCAAAGACTTTGACAATAACAAATCCCCGGGCAGTGATGGTCTGCCTGCTGAATTTTACCGATTCTTTTGGCCCGACATCTGCCATGATCTGGTAGCGAGCTACAACTTTGCTTCTCAACATGGCATGCTTTCTATAAGTCAAAGACGAGGAATAATCTCGCTTATCCCAAAAAAATTTAAGGATAAAACTATTCTGGAAAATCTAAGGCCCATCTCACTTCTCAACGTCGACTACAAGATTCTCACTAAAGTTATAGCCAAGCGAATCGAAAATGTCTTGCCAACTTTAATAAACCCTGATCAAACCGGTTATGCTAAAGGCCGCTACATTGGTGAAAATATAGGGCTAATTTATGACCTAATACATTACACAGATAAAACAAATCAAAAAGGTATTGCCATTTTCTTGGACTTCAAAAAAGCGTTTGACTCCATTGAATGGAACTATCTCTTAGAAACATTGCAGCTCTTCAACTTCGGCCACGACATCCAAAATTGGATAAAAATTTTTTATAATAATGTTACTAGCTGTGTTCTGAATAACGGTCATGCCTCAACTTTTTTCTCCCTACAGCGGGGAGTCAGGCAAGGTTGCCCTTTGTCTGGCGTTCTCTTCGTTCTCGGCATAGAACTCCTCTCTAAAGCCATAAAAAATGATCCTACTATTAAAGGTATCTAAGTCAACAAGCATGAGCTTAAAATAAGTCAATATGCCGACGACACAACAGTATTTGTTTGTGACCTCGATTCCGTCGTGAGTCTATTGAAGGTTTTAAATGAGTTTAAAGAACTTTCTGGCCTAGAAATAAACACAACTAAAACCGAAGCAATGTGGTTAGGCGAATGGAAAGACAGAACAGATGAACCCTTTGGTTTTAAATGGCCAAAAGAACCTGACAATGCCCTTGGTGTCTTTTTTTCTCATAACCAAGAAAGTGCTAATAGACTGAATTTCGATGAAAAAATACGTAATCTCAAGAAAACGCTAATCACTTGGCAACGGAGAAATCTAACTCTTTATGGAAAGATAAACATAGTCAAAACACTTGGGATATCTAAGTTAATTTACTCAGCCTCCGTGCTCCCTGTTCCAGAGCACTATACCCAAGAAATAAATAAGCTAACTTTCAACTTTATTTGGGCAGGAAAACCCCCTAAAATAAAAAGAAACACCATAATTGGAGAAAAGAAAGATGGCGGTTTGAAAATGTGCGATTTTAATATCATGGAAAAAGCACTCAAAATAGCTTGGGTCAACAGCATTCAAGATGACTCACAAGCCTCCTGGAAAATTATTCCTAACCAGCTCTTACACAAACATGGTGGTCTTGCTTTTCTAACAAAATGCAACTTTACACCAAGCACACTAGACCTCGATGATAAGCTTCGTGCATTTTACAAAAAAGTGTTAGATTATTGGTGCGAGTTTAAAATCTCAACGGGCATCGATTCCAAAACAAATCCTAAAAACGAAATAGTGTGGAATAACAAAAAAATTCTTATAGGAAAAAAACCTGTCTTTTACCAAACTTGGTATGACGCCGGTATTACTAAGATAAGCGACTTGTTAAACCAAAATCAGAAATTTTTGAAGTGGCATGAATTTGTCACAAAATTTAATTTAAATGTGCCTTTCACCACATACTATGGCTTGGTCAACGCAATCCCAAAAGACTGGAAAGCTATTCTTACAAACCCTATTCCAAACGTCACACACGCGAACACTATTGTAAACAGCCTAAGAACCAATTCTATTTACTCTTCTCTTTTAAACACTGTCTTTGTTCCTCCCACTGCCGAAACCAAAATTCTACGCCACTGATTTACAAAAAACTACCATCAAGAACGTTTATCTTATGCCATTTAAAGTTACAAACGAAGTTAAAATAATAATGTTTCAGTATAAAGTGATTCATAACGTGCTTCCAACTCGCGCCACTCTTTACCGAGACAGCATTTCAGAGAGCCCCTTATGCAACCTATGCAATACAGAAAAACAAACGTTGCATCACCTATTAATAAACTGCACACTAATACTCGACTTCTGGATTCTGTTTCAAGACTGGTGGCACCAAAAAACAAATGAAACAATAACGTTATCCACAAGTCATATACTCTATGGCTGGCATTATAGGACAAAGCATTGGCAAGTCCTAAATTATTGCCTATTGTTAGCCAAATATCACATTTTCTGCACAAGCCTTTGCGAAGACATCTTAGATTTTCAAATCTTCCTACTGTTCTTCACGGGAAAACTTGAAATCTTAAAAGAGATCGCGACCGCAAAAAAAGAACTTCCGAAATTTTATCGCACGTGGGCTTTTTTACTTTAATTTTTCATGGTGCTGTTGTTTTAGGTTAGACTTATACTTAATTTCATAAACATTTGTTTAAGCTATATCAAAAGTAAATATCCAAAGAAATGTAGCATTTTTGAGACCTGTATGTTCACTTGTGATTGGCTTTCAATTGAAAAGAACTTTGTAAACACGCCAACCGTAAATTAAATTAATGTTAATAGTATTGTAATACATTTATCGTAATGTAGTGTATGCACAATTAGTGTAAGTATAAGTATCAGTAGTGTAAGTAGCAAGTACAATGTAAGTGTAATTAATACTGTAAGTAGTGTATGTGATCCTCTTGTAAATAAAATTGTTTAAAAAAAAAAAAAAATTTCCAAAACATTTAAATCTAACATCCAAACAACTTTTGGTTAAAGGTCCATAAGGCTAATATCACGAAAATCAATCGAGAGGGACATGTCGGTTATAAAGCCTTAAAACTGAGAGACGACAACGCTTTTAAACTCATATAAGAAAGAAGGGGCGGGAAAAGTTATACGCTCGCAAAGCACATAATAATTTAACTTATGGCGCGTTAATAGTAGCTACACCTCCACCCTCCCCTCTCCCCCTGGTTGGTGACAGTATGTTTCTTTAAGCTCCCAGAACATTTTAAAACACATTCAAGTTATGCGTTATCTTCAGCTTGCGGATATTGCAAGAAACTAATCTCCTGTGACTTTCATTGATTTAGGTCGATGTAATCTTGTAAGGCTGAATTCTGTTTAACCCTTTATCTCCCATGAGTGACCAAAAGAGAAATTTTTCCTCACAATATCAAGTAGCTTGCGTTGCTGGTGGTCTGCGGTTTTTCTCTCCGCCCCCAAAACCGCACACCACCAGCAACGCTGGCTAAATATTAAGACAATATCCAACCCAGAAGTGACGGGAATAAACAAAAATATCAATTAGGGGATATTAAGTTGCTTCATTACCAAATTCTCCAAATAGCCATCATAACAATTGTATAGCAGAAAGTAAGGAGAATAACTAATAAGATCTTGGAGTTCAAGGGTTTTAGATTTTCAGTTGAAGAATTTTGCGACCAAGCTACAGCCAGCCAAGTACTCAATCGTAATACTATATCTTAGCGGTACGTTTACCTGCACAAAAGTCCATGTATCTTTTTTGTCCACCCATTTATTCAATCATCTGTACGTTAATCACGGCTTCATTCCTCAATCCATCCGTCCGTTCTGCCGTCCTTAAGCCAGTCTATCCCTTCGTCTCTCTATCAGTCCATCTGTCTTTATTTCGCGTGTCTGTCTGCCTGTCTGTCTTTCTGATTGGTCTTTTCTTCCCTTCAGTAGCTTGAGATCTTCCGTCGGCAGGCTGACCGATTTGTTTTTGGTGGTGACTAAGCGACTACTTCATTCGCCGTACAGGCGTAGAAAAACCTCATCCTCATGTAAGTCTATAGTTTCCTTCGAAATGTCGGAGCAAATATCGGTGCACCATTGTCAATCACGTTCGGGTTCGTTCAGCTTAGTTTTGTCATCTCGTCGAATGCGCAGGAAAGACAAGGAATGGGCTAAGCAACGAAATACCCGCCGGATAAGAAGGAGTTCAGGAATTTGAAAACTGGTACCTCTTTAAGGAGTATAGCTGATTGTAATGGAAGCTCCTTTGAATACACTCTTGCAGTACTTTTGTTCGCTAGGTGAGGTGTTGTGTTGTGTGGAATGTGATATTTTTAACAAGAGAAGTTGAAAGAAAAACATCCAAGCCCTTAAGAGTCTTGCAGTGCTTTATTTCTACATATCAGAAATCAACTAAGTATTAATGCGCACATCGAAGATTAATGCATCGAGAATGAATGCCTTAAAAATCCTAATTACTTTTGGCCTAGAATTCAAACTGTTGGATTAGAACACAATTGACAATTGTGTTATTAAAAATGGACCAAACAGTTTCGGTCGAGGCTGGACGTTTTTCTTTAGGTGAGGTGTTGTGTTGCGTGGAATGTGATATTTTTAACAAGAAAGGTTGAAAGAATAACATATAAGCCCTTAACAGTCTTGCAGTGCTTTATTTCTACATATCAGAAATCAACTAAGTAGTAATGTGCACATCGAAGATTAATGCATCGAGAATGAATGCCTTTGAAAAACCTAATTACATTTGACCTAGAATTCAAACTGTTGGATAAGAGCACAATTGACAATTGTGTTATTAAAAATGGACCAAACAGTTTCGGTCGAGGCTAGAAGTTTTTCTCTAGGTGAGGTGTTGTGTTGTGTTGTGTTGTGTGGAATGTGATATTTTTAACAAGAAAAGTTGAAAGGAAAACATCTAAGCCCTGCAGCAGTGCTTTATATCTACATATCAGAAATCAACTAAGTAGTAACGTGCACATTGAGGATTAAGTTTTCTATTATTGCACTTTCGGTAAACCATGGGAATATATTTCAATCCAAATGTGAGTTAAGAAACTTTTGGTTAGTAATTATTATTAAAAATCCCATGGCAAATGCTAGAATAAGTGATTAAATGCTCCGGTTTGAAAATACACCATCAATTATTAGACATGCTCTTGGCACAAATAGATATGCTTGAAAAACTTGCAAACTTCGATGGCTAAAACCTTGAACAAAATCTCCCGTCGAGGGCTCTAAGCAAGGACAAGCGCAAACACGGCCAGCGATGACAATTATCGTACAACCAGCCTATTACAACGATCGAGGACCAACTACTCAAAAGGTAAAAATAAATGTGTGGTCTTGCAGCACATAACAAACCAAGGTTAACATAAGACTCGCATAAGGATTGCAAAATAATTTAACAGGGCTAAACAATTCACAAACACTAAGCCAGAACATTCCTAATTTTAGTAGTTGCCGAACATACGATTGACGAGGTGAAAATGAAAAAAACTGAATTTCCCTATTATCAAAAGACATCTAAGAGGAAAGAAAGAAAATTATCATGTTCACGCCGAACTCTGTAAAAATCAAGCTGTTTATCAAAATCCATATTTATATTTGCTTAGATTGATGGATGTACGGTCGCAATTTTCGATTTAACGGGAATATTTTCGGTATGCAGACCTGGCGTTTGACCTCTCGTATCGAACTCGATATTAACTCCAGGACGAAATATCAGTAGATGGGTGGACCCACCATAGTGAAACATGCCAAGCTGGTCACCTTTCTTCACTTTATCCTTTTCTTCAATCGTGATTTCGTTGGAGGACACCTCTGACATACCGAGCGATACGAAGCACATCAAGCCAATGTGGGGATTATCAGCTTGAATGTAGATAATACCTCTGGCAGCTACTTGGGCTAGGTATCCTTGTGACATGCATATGTTGGGCGATGCGGGGCTATCCTGAATGTCATGGGTTGCAGAATAATAAGAACCATCCACGAGTTCTATCTTGTAAATGGTGCCCGACACAGGACTGTGCCATCGGTGGTAACTGGTAGCACTTAGGTACGCTTGGTAGACGGTTCCACCATGAAATTGCTTGGCAAGGTTACTCATGTTCAGGATGAAGTCCAGTGAGTACCGTTGGTGCTTTGCCCAGAAGAAGTCCCTCTTTTTCACGGCTGCAGAGATCTGGTATGGCGCTGACTCACAGGCATTCGCAACAATGGAATCGTCGTCCGGAGATGCTACTGGACGAATGCCATCACGAAACTCTCTGGTGAAGAAGTCATCCCATGATGTAAAACCGTAATGTTTTTCATTAGGCTTGCATTTGAACTCTTGGACGAAGTTTGGCATTGCTTGCATTGCGTCTTCACCAAACCAACCATGACGAGGATCATCAGTCAACACGTGACAAGAAGCAGAACTGGAAAGAAACTTTCCCCAATAGTTGAGAATACTTTTGAACAACCTGTTGACTTTGTCGTTGAGGAAAGCAGAAAATCCAGCAGTCGTAGCCATCGGCCAGTTCAGGATTACATTGATGGGGAGACCAACCAAACTGGTTTTGTTGTACTCTGGAGCTGTTGTCATGATGTAGTCGATTAAAATAATCATAAGTTGCCAGCAAGGGATCCTTGTTCCTATCGAACTATCTCGAATCTTGTACTGTTGCCAGAACATCTGATGGAAGAACATGTTGATCTCGGGATCGGAGATGATAGCTTTCAATAATTCTTGAACAGGTGGATGGAGACCGAGGTCTTCTTCTGTACCGTGAGCAACTATCGGCGGAGTTTCACCATCAGCTGTTTCTTCATCTTCAGCTGGTGGTTGAAGAGCCATCAATAACGCTAACTTATCTTTGTATTTAATTTGGACCTCTGTGATGAAGTTGGCTAACCATTTGTCAGGAAATTTGAGGTCAGAAGGAATCCATTGACCAACACGGTAAGGTCTGAAGCTCACGATTATGTTGCATGTAGTTCGCGGCTTGTTTTGCTCGTAAATGATATACTCTTGTAGAGTGTGTCTGCTTTTAACTGCAATACAGATTTCATCGCGCAAACGCAAATGACGCTAAAATACGTGTGCGTGCAACTTTTGCTTGAGAAACGTTTGTCTGGAAATTTTTCCTGCCTAATAAAGAAGAAAAGTGTTCTGTCTAGATGACAAGAACTAATTGTATCTTCCTGCCTGATAAAGGATAAAAGCGCTTTGTCCGGATGACAGGCCTCTTTCATAGCGTGACCATCACCAGGTTGTTAGAGAAACACGAACTTGTTGACTGATCAATTCTCGTAAACTTCTTTCTCACAAGCGTTTTTTGAGTTTTAAAAAAACTTTAGGAGATGGTTAAAAAAGAGAACTTGGAATGCGTGTGCGTAGAACCGCGCTTGAGAAGCCTTTGTCTGGAAATTTTTCCTGTCTCATAAACGATAAAAGCGCTTTGTCCAGATGACAGGCCTCTTTCAAACTGTCAACATCAACAGATTGGTGAGGATTGGCCTCCGTTGGCAATATGCCGGAGTGTGAAAGGCATATCCTATGTTTCGCGTGAACTAAACAAAGTAAAACATTTGGGAGACGTCTACATGCAGATTAAGCGGAGTATACAGGAATAAGGGAATAACCGCGTTTTACTTACTCTCCGACTGAGGGGTCATTTTATCTTGAGCATTAGATTACAATGAACTGCAATGGTTCACCGAAATAGACGCTCTTTGTTGTCTGTTTGAATATCATTGTGGGATTTGGCTTAAGACAAATTATCCAGATCAAGAACATTTTGGCTTTCAATAGTCCTCTAGTAGTTCGCGGATCATAACATAAATGTGAACCTGATTTAAAGATCACATTCAAAATATGTTGCGAGAGTAAGATAGAATTAATTCGTAGCAAATCGCAATTTAAATGAGATTTCTATCAAAATCTTAGAATGAGTAAACTTATTCCAATTCTTTAAACTGTTACGTTAATGACGCTTGTTTAACTGACTCCTGTTTTACCACATTAACTTTAATTGAGAATCAGATCGGTGAAATATGGAAATATTATTTTCAAACATTCCTGCTAACAGAATCACAGTCCAAACAACGCCTTCACACGAAGGAAAAAAGCTTAGTTCTTAATACACCTGATGAGGTTATTTTCATTCCTAGCATCTTCAATCAATGCCAGTTTAGACAAGTGTAAGATATTACATGCGTGTATGTTAGTATATCAAGGCCTTTTTGTTTCTGCAGACCCAATAGTTCAAACAACACGTCAATTTTGCGTAGACTGGACGAACTGATCGAAATTCGGAGGTATCCTCCGAGCAGTTAATTAGTCAAAAATATTTCTCAGCGAAGTCAGGAATCAAACTTACCTTACAATCGGCATGGAGACCTGCATGTATTTAGATAAAAGTAACAAAAAGAGTAGAAGAATACCCGATGGCGGTTCGAGACCATTATGTAAAAAATGTTCTCAAACACGCTATCTATTATACTACTAACCACAAAATGGTAATTATTTGATGATGTAAATATAATAAAACAATACTTGCATATCCATTACAAAAGTACTTTCGGAAACAATTTCAACGGATTTACGTTATCAGAGAAACACGAACTTGATGACTGATCGGTTCTCGTAAACTTCTCTCTCACATTACGCTAAAATGTGTGTGCCTGATAAAGGATAAAAGCTTTTTGTCTAGACGACAGGAATTAATTGTATCTTCCTGCTTGATAAAGGATAAAAGTGCTTTGTCCAGATGACTCGTAAACTTCTTTCTCACGAGTGTTTTTTGAGTTTTAGAAATGATTTAGCAAAACTTAAGGAGATGATTAAAAACAAAATTTGGAATGCGTGTGCGTGGAACTGCGCTTGAGAAGCCTTTTTCTGGAAATTTTTCTTGTCTCATACAGGATAAAAGCGCTTTGTCGAGATGACAGGCCTCTTTGAAACTATCAACGTTAACGGGTTGTTAAGGATTGGCCGCCGTTGGCAATATGCCGGAGTGTGAAAGGCATTATCCTATGTCCCGCGTGAACTAAACAAAGTAAAACATTTTGGAGACGTTTACATGCAGATTTTCTCATCGAAGTATATAGGAATAATGGAATAACCGCGTTTTACTTACTTTCCGACTGAGGGATCATTTTATCTTGAGCTTTAGATTACAATGAACTGAAATGATTCCCCGTAATAGACGCTCTTTTTTGTCTGTTTGAATACCATTGTGGGATTTGGCTTAAGACAAATCATTCCGTGGAAGAACATTTTGGCTTTTAATAGTCCTCCAGTAGTTCGTGGATCATAACATAAATATCAACCTGATTTAAAGATCACATTCAAAATATGTTGATAGAGTAAGATACAATTAATTCGTAGCCAAACGCAATTTAAATGAGAGTTCTATCAAATCTTAGAACGAGTAAACTTATTCCAATTCTTGAAACTCTAACGTTTATTGCGCTTGTTTAACTGACTCCTGTTTTACTACATTGACTTTGATTGAGAATCAGAGCGGTGATTATAAAGTATATAAAGATATTACATGCACGTACGTTAGTATCTCAGAGCCTTTTTGTTTCTGCAAATCCAACAGTTCAAATATCACGTATACACTGCGTAGACATTGACATGCAGCACTTTTTCTTAATAGATTGCTTATGTGGAAAAGCGTTTTGGTGACAACTGATCCAGCCTAAGTGTGTTACTGTACCCTTCCCTCCCCTCCCCCCTCCAAGGTAAAACGGAGGCGAGGTAACGTCTACCCAAACCTGACGCTAATCGTTTTCCGTGACGTCACTCTTTTGCAAGAAAATGTGTGATGACTTTTTACTGGGATACCTGTGGTAGCCCAGTCATAAAATGCCTTTGTTTTTTTGTCGTTTTTTTTTTTTTTTTTTTTGTTTTTTTCCTCCGCCACAAAATGGAAAAATTGCGCAATAGTACCCAGAGGTCATTGGGCCCTCAACACCATGACAACTAACTGTGATCCAATGAGGTGTTCACATGCTGATCACGCGTGCTATCTTGATGATGATTGACGTTGTCAAGCACGGACAGGGCCGGGTCACATGACGAACACGAGATTTTTGCCCATAAAACTATTTTGTCAGTCGTTTTGTATTTCAACGTAATTGGATTACGATCATCTGAAGCATTATGGGGCAAACGCTCAAAATACTTATAGACGCATACACAAGTCGTATTGTTCGCGGCCGATCCACACAAAAAGATGTTATTGAGCGGTAATTTTGGATCGGACAGAATCGCGAACGCTTGAAAGCCATGAAAGCATTAAATGCCTTGTATGTCTTGTATGCCAAGTATGCCAATGTCTTAGTTGAAAACGTAAACTCGTTGTAAAAAGCAAAATCTGAAATCTGAAACCAAACTGCATATACTCTATGCAATCTATTGAACAACACTACTACCGTGAGACTGAAGAACAAAATTCAAATGAAACTGCTAGTGAAGAAAGACGCCATTTTGGATTCACTTGATGCCTGGGAACGTAGCTACGATAACAGTGCGAATGGAATTAATTTCACGATCAGAAAGGTGAATCTTATGTTTATTTTCATTGTAGTTGTATGGATATTCTTTTTTAATAAATACATGATCCAAAATCCCGTTTTTTTTTGTATAATGTTATTATGTCAAGTATTGTTTACGCAATTGTCTTGTCACAGGAGACCCAAGGTCACGTTTCGAGAAAGAGCCAACGATTAATTCACGAACGCGTCACGCGTTGTGTGACTCAGAGTAAGTTATTCTAGGAACCGTTGAAAATTTGAACACGTTATAAGGAATAGTATAGGGAACGAAGTATGGTCGATTTACAACGATAAATATTTCGAAATATGAAGATTTTTCTCGAAAAAATCAATAAGACTTACTCATACCCTGTGTATCCGTTGTAGTTTCTGGCGATTGTTGCCGTTTTAAGCTTGCTTTACCATCACTATTATTCACGTCATCTACATTTATTACATTGGTAAAATCTGTACAGACATCACACCAACCAACTCGCGCGCAAAGTAAGAAGACTATGTTGAAGGCTTGAAATTATATTACGATCGATTTTCATCCAGAAATGGGCCAGGAATTTTCCACAATAGTGCAAATAATCGTGAAGGCTGATCGCGGAAAAGCGATTGCGTGACGCTCGGTAAGCTGTAAGATGACATGTTATTATATACCAGACGTAAAAACTCTTCAGATTCTCAGTCTGCATTTTTTACCCACTCTGCAGTCTATATTTTGTATCCGGTCTGCAGTCTGCTGTCTACATTTTGTACTAACTGGTATCCGTGGCACAAATACAGTTTATTTTTGGTTACATTTATTCGCACAACACACATAATCTGCCACAAAATACCTGTGTGTGAGGTAATTCGACATTTTCATTCTTTCCCGCGTTAATAATCTTCTTTCCTTTTGTAAGAATGTAGACCACTTACAATGTTTCAAGTAATCCACCCACCCTACAAAAAATAACTCTTGCATGCATAGCATGCCTATGTTTTGAGACAGGTGTATGCCCTTGGCCAGACTTGAGCTCACTATTTCAGTATACTAGTCCGACACGCGTAGTACCACTACACTTGATTCCACGGATCCAGTACCATCCAGGTATCCCAGTTACCCTGCTCACAGGGTCTAGTTAGCTAACCTGTCTTGCCGCCCGTTAAAACTCTCGCTGAAGACCAGGTGCACTGTCTTAATATACTTGGGCCAAGAAGATTGTCCGCCTTCAACCTTCGGTCTTTTTGCGAACGGTGCTGCGAATTTATCAAGACCGTGTCCGGCTGCCGGACGTTTAGTCACTTAAATTAAAGGTAGTTGTTTCTTGTAGCGATTCTGTCGACTGAGAAAAGAGTCGCTCTTTCCTCACGCTTGCAGCATAACTATCTCTTAAAGAAATAAGAGCCTAAAACTACGGCAAATGATCCAACTTTTTTCGTTGACCGTGGCACTGTTTACAAATGCAGGCAGAAACCGCGTGGATTTCGTAGACGCGATGCCAATCGAACATCGTCCTCATCTTAATATATACCAAAAATCGCTCATAATCTTTTTCTATATCCTTAAAGGAAAACATTTATTTGAAATCGGACGCTGAATTAAAAATGCAAACTTACCTGAAAAATGGAAAATGAATTCACTTCAGTGTTGTTTTTTTTCTCGACAACCTTCACGCTGACACGTCCACTTCGCAAAAAACAAATATGATGAAGTGGCATTATTTTGCATAAATTAGGATGAAGTCACGGAAGACGTTAGGTGTCGGGTTTGCGTAGACGAGTGGTAAGTACTAAAACATGGAACGACCTAAAACCACCTAAAACCCCCTAAAACCACCTACAACCACCTACACCATCTACAACCACCTCAAAAATTTCAACAACCACCTCAAAAAAATCAACGGCCACTCGCAAACTATCTAAAACCATCTAATACAAGGCGTAAATATCTAAAATAAGGCGAAACGATAACACGTCACGTACATGAAATACGAGAATCGAACGAAACCTCCACCTCCCCCTGAAATCTTACTCTCCCTGGTCCCATGTGTACAACCAACCATCTCACGAAATGAAATGCGAGAGCATGCCAATTATATTTTTTACTACCTCAGTAGTAAAAGACCTAAAGAATTTTACAAGCAGACGTTTTGGCTCACGTTTCATTTGATTACGTAATGGTCCAAGGTAGTGTTTTTCTCTATTTATAATCTCAGCACTGGAAAGGTAATTGAAGCAAAACGTGAGTCATTATTGCGTAAGTGGCACCACTCGTACAACTGCATGCTGTATGAATGCCAGCACAATGGCGTTCGTGCCAGAGGAAGATCCCGAAGGCACGCACATTGATCATTCTTACTCATACTTTTTCTAGACGTGAGCCAAAACGTCTGCTGGTACCCAGGGTTGAAAAAGCCAGGTCAAGTCAGTTTTGACTACGAGTTTGTTATTTCACTTTATTATTTTTTGTAACTTGATAGTCCATTTTATAAAGTTTTTTAAGTCTTTTGCTACCGAGGGAATATAAAATAATTAGCATACTATCGCATTTCATTTCGTGAGATGGTTGATTATACACATTATACGCATGGGACCAGGGAGAGTAAGATTTCAGGGGGAGGAGGAGGTTTCGTTCGATTCTCGTATTTTGTGTACGTGACATGTTGTCGTCTCGCCTTATTTTAGACATTTATGCCTTGTTTTAGATGGTTTTAGATATTTATAGTTTGCGAGTGGCTGTAGATATTTTTGAGGTGGTTGTAGGTGATTGTTGAAATTTTTGAGGTGGTTGTAGATGGTTGTAGGTGGTTGTAGGTGGTTTTAAGTGGGTTTAAGTGGTTTTAGATGGTTTTAGGTGGTTTTAGGTGGTTTTAGGACAAGCGAATAAATACAGGAATGGCTCCGACCTGTGATTGGATGATAAAAATAGTAAAAGTTAATAATTTATATCTTAACTCCTTGCACGTGAGTATGGTTAACCGCGTGTCTCGAAGCGGAACAATGAAATATCAATGGGAAAACGCCGATGAGTCAAACAAGAAATGGCTACTTACATAATGAAGAGAAGGCAGAGTCTAGCTTGTTCAGCGAGGTCGTTCAGCGATATTCCAGCGATGAAAAAGTCATCCGCTGACAAGCTCCGCTGATAAAACTCATTTAGTCAGTTTAGGCGGACGACCAGACTGGAGCCATTCGTGTATTTCACCGCAGACAGGTATTTAGTGGCTAGTGGTTTTAGTTGGTCGTTCCATATTTTAGTACTTACGCTTACGGTAGACTAGTGGCGGATGCATGCTCATGGAAGACGCACTTGCGTCTAAAATTTGAGTAAAATCGGTCAAATTTTGCCTGTGTTCGACGAAAACACGTTGCTATAGTGGAGTCTAAGAAGCACACCCTATGAAATCAACTGAAAACTTTGATTTCAATTTGGAAAAGGCTCGAATTTTTTCTAGCCAAGCAAGAGTCACAAGAGAAGACTTGAAACTTTACTGAACAACTGATAGAGGTAAGTGTTCTAATCCGCATTGTTTGAGACTCCATTCGAGGCGCTTTTAATATGTCAAGATCGGGCGTTATGCGACTCCATTTTGAATCTCGGAGGTACTGAATTTCAAGCGAAACAGCCTGCAAACGACTGGAAAGGTTTAGTTTTGATTTCAAAGAGTGCGGTTATACTTTTATTCGTCTAAATTAGAACTTGAGCAAATAAATAACACTAAATTTACACACATGGTACTCGTTCTTAGTCAACGAACCGATACATTGCTAGTGAAAAGGAAGGAGTTTTACTCGTTCCCTTCTCGTTTTCCCTGCTAGTTCCGGACTCGTGGCAATGTGGTGGTCAACAAGGATTTGACTCAATCTCGTGTCCTTTTTCTTCACATGGTCAAAATGCTGGGACTGGGTATTGAATTCAGAGTGTATTCCTTCAATCTCTTGTTCACCATAGAATCCGAGGCCCATGTGCCATTGTCGAAGAAAAGGGCAAACATTTTCTAGCATATGCAGCTTTGGTGTGATCGTCATGTCTGGGAATTTTTCCTTAAGGAATTGAAGAAAATTTGTGATGTCTTCTTCTGCGAGAAAACAAGAAAAGGTGAACTTAAGACATGATCTTATTACCGTATTCATGTTTTCTATGAAAGTCTGGTTTTTTCTTTCGCTTACCTATCTTATCAATGTTGCTATCATTGAGATAGTCTGCACTGTCATAGACAAAGTGGCAAGCAGCAAATAACTTGAAAACTTGTTCGAGTTTCACGCTAATTTCTCTTGCTTGAGAAAGGAAGGACACTGCTCCACTGTTTTTGTCACCACAGCGCTGCATAGTTTAATGATGTCTCCCTACCCTCCCCAAAAAAACGCAACAATTCATTAGAATTTTGTGACACAACAAATTTCTACTCTAATGGTAGAATTTGTGTTACCTTGCAACAAGTGTGCACATGGTTACCAATGAATGATTTTCCATGTAAGCTTGTCTCTCAACATTCATTTTCTTGAGAACCTCATCCAAATGAACTGATAGTGGTCCATTGTCTTTCTGAAAAGCAGCCAATTCCATTTGTTCATCTGCTACAAACTAACCATAATCCTCTTGAATGTTTTCAAGGCTTCATTTTCAGCATGCCCATGTTTATGGCAAGAGACTTGCATTACTTCATGATTTATCTTGCACCAAAGACATGGATATTTGTCTGCAAATACAATTATCATGGTGGAAACCTGTTTCACAGAAATAGTAATATAAAGTAGAGGCTACATTTATATTCTTTTATTGAATTGCTAAATCGTAATTATTTGTATATGTGAATTACTGTCTAGATCATACCTGAGGCACCAGCTATTCCAAATAACTTGCACAGGAATTCATAGTCACCAAACAGGAAATTTTTTCCCTCTAGAAATGGGCAAAACAAAAAGAAGAATATAAGTAATGTTATTTTTTAAGTCTCTATTCTCTAGACTAACTAAAAGTGTGGTATATTTTTTTAACTTACGCCCAGGTTGCTTCTTTCAAGGTGTTTACTTGTTCTTTATATTTCATTAAAGCTGTCTTTAAATTAGCCCAACTATCTTTTGCATGGAACATGGCAAAGACCACTGTGTTGGTTTTAGAGTTTGGATGCCTCAGGTTAGCAATCTGGAGGGCCATTTTAAATGACCCACCACCAGCATCTCCTCCAAGTTTTTTGCGCACTTCATTTTCTGGGATTGCATTGTTCCATGTCAGCCTTTCATTCCTAAAATGATAACCAATGCTAATAAGACTATAATTCACAGCAAAAGTCAACATCTAACTTTGTTTAATTTCAATCATTTATTTAGTGATTGCATTTACTTTTTTTAAGTATTTCTTTGTTATCATACTTTTCATTTTCAACCAGATGAAGATTATGAATTGGTTCAGGTCTGTAACATAACCAAACTCTGCTTCCCTGACCTTTGGATGGCAACCTGGTTTTTTGAATTCAAATGGGATCATTTCACAAACCAAGTTGGCAAGGTCAGTGATGGACTGAACTTGCTTTTGTTGGCTTATTTTACGCTCTGAGGATAGTCCCCACTGATCAAACCATCTGTAGAGACATAATAGTTATCATAATTTTCTAAATAGATTGAGGGTATTCAGGCAGTTGGCAAATTTGGATACAAACTCAAAACAATTACTGTTACTGATATCTAATGTCTTTGGAAAATCTTTGGGGTTTTTAATGATTTTTAGTTCGTTTTTCTTACCTCCTAAGCTTTCTAACCTTGTACCATGTTTCCCTAAGGTCTGCTTTCATTACTAGGATGTCACCTCTTGGAATGGTGATTTTAAATTCCTTTCCCAAGGCCTCCTACAGTAGTGCCTCCCTCTCCAGTCTGCCCATTGTATACAGTTCATCTTTCAACTGGGTATCAGCGGCACCACCACTCATAGCTGTCCTGGTCTCTGCTACTACCTTTGATCTGTGTCCAGCAGTTTTCATTGTTAGCTCGTCAGTTGTTTTCCTTGCCTTGGTCCTTTTCACTAATTCTAAGGGCTGAAAATGGATTATCTTATCTTTTGTTTTGAAAATGAATGTCTTTATTTTCAACTTAAAAAATATTTTACCTGGCCACCTGTTTTAAGGAGAATAGTCGTCCCATCCTGAAACTGTGAAAGGAACTGTCTAATGATGAACAATCCAACTTCCTCCTCTAGGGATACATAAGCTTCCTGGTTAGTAGTTGGTCAACTGTCAGTTGTTCTCTGCAGGTTGTATTTGTATCAGTGGTGGTTGTAGGTTCTACTTGTAGTGATGGTACATTTACCTGTGCTGGTCCCTCTTCCTCTGCTGCAGTTATGGGTTTCACTAGGGTAAGGGGGAATGGTGTCATTGGAACTGATCTTTGTGAAGGGGTGAAGATGTGTGAGGGTGCTGTTGTAGGGCTTTGAATGCAACATTCTTGATGCCGAGGTAGTTGGTGAAGTTTTACTGTGTGTTTACAGGTAGGACATCGAAAAGCTAACTCTGAAAGTATGGTGCGAAGAACAAAAGGGCTGGCTCAATGAACTCATTAGGAGTTACAATGACAGTTCAGCATACCGGGTAAAGGGATCCACACATTTGAAAAGAAAATGACAAACAACTAGCACAAAATATGTGTGGAGTTCGGCATTTAGTCTGGACTGGTTGATCAAGTACCTCTTTGCAAATTGGGCACATATACTCACGCTTAATGTTTTCAACAAACTCTTCTGGGTAAAGAGGTTCTGATCCTCTAAAGCTTTGTAGATTCTTTACCTCCTCAGAGAATGAGAGTGAGGCTGGTTTAGGTTGGAAGCTTAAAGTGCCAGACATTCCTTCCACCATTTCCACTTGTTCCTTGGGTCCAGCTGAGTCCTCTCTGGGTTTAGGTTTAGTCTTCTTCTTCCTATCAGGTTTCTGTTGATCTTTAAAGAAACTGCAGATCTTGCAGTTTCCAGTACGTTTGTGTGGAGGCCACACATTGATTGCAAGGCGTGTGCCTCCTCTTAAAGCAAGCTTGTAACACTTGTGTCAGAACTTGGGAGGGCACATGTCAAGGTCATCTTTACGAACTTTGACACCAAAGGCTGTGAAAATAATCTCCGTCCTATTTGCGCAAAGAAAACTGTTCTCATACTTATCTTTTGCCTTCTTCAATCGCTCTTCACAAATTCGGCAAATTTTTTTCCAATATTTGTTGATGTTCAAAGAGACCAAAGTTAGCCATCTGAATTTACTAATCGAACCGAGTTCTAAAATAAACTTGGATTAAGCAACGGAGTTCGAAGTTGACTCAAGATATGTTCCGAAGTTCCTTTTTCCAGCCTTTTATTGATTCAGAAGGGTACACCCTTAGGGTTTGTACCTTGTTTCAGGAAGGGGTGTCTATTTATCTCTCTCGATCGGTTCTTCAGGAGTGCGGGAATATTTGCATTCTTGTGTTATTGGGTGTAGTTCGTTCCATTGAAGGGAATATTCGCCAAAAACCATGTTAATCGCAGCCAAGAAAAACTATTTAACTGTCAGAACAAAGCGCAAATGGTAACATATAATTGTAAGGTTTATTATGCCTGATCATGATTGAAATGTTGACCGAAAGAAACGTCTTGTCCGTGCTTTCACTAGTTCACGTAGCTCCCTGTGACAGATCGATGACGTACACTTTTCGGGAAGGAAATCACACGTACGTAGTGCGACTTTCTTGCACGTAACATAAGGCCGTGGACATTTTAGCAGTTTTTCAGACATCGTGTATTCTTTATTTAGCCCATGGGTAAGCATGACTGTATCAAGAGGATAAATTCACGTTGCTGAGGGGCATTAGTTCGAGGTCTAAGAGGAGATGGACGCCATATTTACTATTTTGATAGTGAAGTGTAATCGCAGATTACACCCCGCAAAACAATTCGGATTAAAACGTCATGGTACAGAAACTAATGGCAAAGGAGAGACATAAAGCCAGAGTCGTTCCCTTTTTGAAAGAAAAATTCGAATCAATCAGAATCTTGGCTGAAAATAAGAAGACCTCAGAAAGGCGGTAAGCCGTCTCATAGTTAACTATCCCGCACATGTAATCTTTCCTTGGAGAACATTAACCAGGGAAGCAAAACACAATGTCTGCGCGTAAGTTAGCTATTTCCTCGGGCTTTTTTTGTTGAGCCGTTAAACGTACATTTTCAGCGGTTTCAAATTGAAAATGTCAATCAGAAATGCGCGAACTAAATTTCCACTGGGGGCGTTTTGAAGCAGCCAGGTATGCTATCCCCTGGATAGGGAGGGGGATCCGCCTCGGGATGTTTGGCAGGGATTATCCACCCAGACCCTATTTCAGATAAAAAAAGTGCCTTTTTCAATAATCAGTTTTGTACCTGGCCTCTAATATCCCCACCAGACAAATTTTGCTTGGTTTGAGAATCCTTTACGCTATGTTGTAGAAGAATTTGAAAAGGCTTGTATCAATGCCGAAGTTAAGAAGTTACGAAAATCATCCAAAAAAACAGTAGAAAAATATATTTTTCATACTTGTGTTTCACTTTGATTCATTTTGAAAAATCAGTTACGTTTATACGCTTGTGTGGTTTTCTTGAAAACCATACCTAATTTCAAACCAAAATGGTGAAAATGTACACCGACCTGTCTTTGTACCAGAACGGCTAAAAAAACCACAAATCTTTGGCCACCATATACCTCTATAACTTATTAATTACCAGTACCCCTTCTTACCTATTACGCAGATTAAGCGTTAAAGTCTTAAACTCAAACCATCGTTGATAAAGACAAATCATTTTTTCCACAAGTTGGAAAAATTCCGAAACGGTCACAATTAGTTTCCAACAATTAGCCTACATTAACTTAGTAATTTAGTATTATCAGCTGATTTGATAGCGCAAATTGGCCAGTGTAAAGAGTTTAAACGCTTTTGAACTCTTTAAGGTGGCTAATTGACGTTATCAACTGAATTGATAACACTAAATCACCCTGTCATACTCTCCCACCGAACCAGCACCACAGTTTCCTTAGAAACTTACCCCCTTTATGCATTAACTTAGGAGAGGCTCGCTTTTCTGCAACAAATCGATTAATAAACAAGTTAACTGCATCCAATGTTCACAAGTATAGAATGCGACCATCTTATCAACTACTTTGTTTCACTACCTCCAAAAAGTTTAAATCTAACATCAAAATAACTTTTGTTCAAAGGTCCATAAGGCTAATGTCACGAAAATCAATCGAGAGGGACATGTCGGTTATAAAGCCTTAAAACTGAGAGACAACAACGCTTTTAACCCTTTAACTCCCGCGAGTGACCAAGGGAGAACTTCTCCTTACTATATCTATACAATATCATACAGACAAGTAGTGAGAATAAAGAAAAATATCAAATATGAGATTACTAATTGATCGAGTAACAAATTATGCAGGTAGGCGAAAAATCGATGGGAAAATCGTAGCGTTTCTTTCTTCTTTCGTTTATTACTTTGAAGATTTGCTAAAATCAGGAAATAGGGCTCTTGTACAGAACAAAACATTCACTTGTCTATAATTTGATTGTTTATTATCATTATCTCGCAGTTCACAATAAGGAAACTGTAACAGGAGTGGAGATTTTAAAGTCACATGTCGCCTGCTTGTTAACGTACAAGTTTCCGTGTGTAACAACTTCGGCTTTTCCAGACCGCGGATGACGGAAAACTCTGCCCCCTTTATTTGATAGGAAATATCAATAGCCCCATGGAATTAATTTACTGCGCCATGTTTCCAGAAAATAAGACTGGAAAATGTTTTTTCCACTTTCCACCATCAAGAAATTCCACGTGGAAATAGTATTTGTAGCGATGTGCCTCAAATATCGTGCACAACTTGGTGTGAGATTCAGACCTTCAGGTTCGTAAATGCCAGTATCCTCCTTATAAAAAATCGGAGACGTAAAGTTGAGAGAGAGGTGAATCTGAAGATGGCAGAAGAAATCAAAGCTGGTGGCGAGTCTTCCTAGTGGCAAGGTGACTATAAACCTAATAGAACGCGTACCGTAACTGCTATCTTAAAGTCGGCAATGAATAAGGAAGAAGGGCAAGAAGAGTGCTTATCTGAACATCAGTTTTGCTAACTGGTGATTTGTGACTGAGATGAACTTTATATCATATAATTGCCAGGGATACGCAGGTACTGTAGAGGCGCTCACATAACTAGAGGTGGGCGATCCTCCCTCTGACTTTAGAACTGCGACAAGTTTATAGCGCAGACCAACTAGCACAGTTTGGAGCACCTCACGGTCTCACTAGGCTCATCACACTAAAAACCTTCAGCAAACTAATCGTAAACGCGGGTGGTTATCAGCAACGTGCACAGATCTCTGAACGTGGGTCATCGCGAGAACTATACCCAATCCGTCACAGACAGAACAAGAAAGCGAGGTATTCTTGCTAAGAGAAAGGATGTATCAAGACGTTTTAGTCATTGGCTGCCGTCCAAAAGCACCCTAACAAAGGCAAACACAGTGAAGGTGACAAAAAATTCCGCCTATGATAAGATCAAGAGGAAATGGACGAAGACCAGCTTGCCGTTTTATAGGGGGTGGCTACGTTCAAGGTCAGACCTCAGGTAAAATTCTGACGAGCAATCCCTAACTAGCCTGGTGGACTTTGGATAGGTTCTTTGGAAAGCACAAAAAAACAGCCACCTTTTCTCAGAAAGCAAAGAATTATCTCCTAGACGTGAGCTGGACAGGGGAGGAAACTAGTAAAGCAACCACCTCTAATGTGGCTTCCCAAATATCGAGTTTAAGAGACGACACCAGCCAGAAATGTTGTCTGAGACTGAGTGGTTGATAGAGCAGCAAATCACTCGATACTTCAGCCGGTTATCTGCCGTAACAAAAATTGGTTTATTGACGAGGTCCCCCTCTGTAAATATGAATGAGGAAGAAGAGGCCGATCCGATGCCGGTGATCTAGCTTCAGTCGAAACTGACCGAACAAGGCAGAAGATAGGGAGGGACCTTGCAAAATTTAGACGAAGATTGCAAGAGAGGGTACAGCTGCTATTAAGCTAAAAAAAATTAATAAATAAAGACCTTTGCATCTCACTTTTCTTTCATATTTAATGTCTTTGCTCACGAAAACAACTGATTATGTCTTGGGATTTTTTCATCAAGGGAAATTTGCAGGAAGCCTTCTGGTCAAAATACCGCTGGCTCATTCTTAATAAATTTTACAAGTCACGCAATTAAACGTCGGCAACACTCGATCTAGAGAGATGTAGATTTATATGTAGTTATAGAATGCTTGAAAAAAAATGCAAATATTTTACGATCGAAGCAAGCAAATAATCAGAGAATGAAATGATGGGTTATAAAGGGTAATTAAGATTAGTGTTGTAGCTTTCTGGCAACGAGAGATATTTGACCTCAAAGTTGTCAAATATTTGGATGAATTGAAAAGTCTAAAAACACAGCCGTTCATTTGCCTCTGTTGATTGACAAGCCGTCAATCAAATTGACAAGCCGTCAATCAAATTGACTGATACTTGCGGCGGACATTATCTAAGGATGTAAAAATATGTATGCAAACCCTCAGAGTAATTGGTTAAACACCATGGCAGTGAGAGCTTCATACATTTTAACTATTTTGAAGCGATTTCCCGGTGAAAACCAAGAAAAACCGGGGGTGTGGTCTATCTCCCCCCGGTAAAAACCAAAACGGAAATCAGTTAGTCTTTTTGAGTGTTGGGGTAGACCCTTTGAACTGGCAAAGTTTCATTGAAATCAGTGAGATGGCATGTAGCACGACTGCCCGGTGATTTCGTGGACACACTCTTAACTGCAATATCCATTTCATCGCGCAGGCGCAAGTGAGGTTGGAATGCGCGCAACTGTGCTTGAGAAGCCTTTGTCTGGAAACCGTTTTGTCTAGATGAAAGGAATTAATTGTATCTTCCTGCCTGACAAAGGACAAAAGTGCTTTGTACGGGAGATAAGCCTCTTTCAAACTGTCAACATCAACAGGTTATTGAGGCCTGGCCTCTGTTGGCAATATTCTGGAGTGTGAAAGACATATCCTATGCTCCACGTGAACTAAACAAAGTAAAACATTTTGGAGACGTCTACATGCAGATTATCTAAACGGAGTACGCAGGAATAAGGGAATTACCGCGTTTCACTCACTTTCTGAAGGGTCATTTTTTTCTTGAACTGTAGATTACGGTGGAATGAAATGGTTCACCGAAATAGACGCTCTATGTCGTTAGACAAACAGGAACTTGATGACTTATCAATTCTCAAAAACTTCTTTCTCACAAGTCGTAACAAGGTTAGTTGGAAGAGTAGTTGAAACGGATAAGAAGCGTTCTTTTGAGTTTTAGACATGATTTAGCAAAACTTATTGAGATGGTTAAAAACAAAACTTGGAATGCGTGTGTGTGGAACTGCGCTTGAGAAGCCTTTGTCTGGAAATTTTTCCTGCCTGATAAGGATAAAATCCCTTTGTTTAGATGACAGGCCTCTTTCATACCGTGACCATCGACAGGTTGTTGAGGGTTGGCCTCCATTGGTAACATCCCGGAGTGTGAAAGGCATTATCCTATGTTCCGCGTGACCTAAACAAGGTAAAACATTTTGGAAACGTCCACATGAAGATTATCTTATCGGAGTATACAGGAATAGGGAAATTTCTGCGTTTCACTCACTTTCTGAGGGGTCATTTTTTCTTGAACTTTATTACTTTGAACTGAGAAGTGGTTCACCGAAATAGACACTCTTTGTTGTCTGTTTAAATATCCGAGATGGGTGTCTTTGTTTGGATCATTGTGGGATTTGACCAAAGACAAATTATCTCGAGCAAGAACATTCTGGCTTTCAATAGTCCTCCAGTAAGTAGTCTGTGGATAATAACATAAATGTCAACCTGGATCACATTCGAAATATGTTGAGGCGGTAAGATACAATTAATTCGTAGCCAAACGCAGTTTAAATGAGAGTTCTATCACATCTTATAATGAGTAGACGTGTTCCACTTCTTGAACCTGTAACGTTTATGACGCTTGTTTAACTGACTCCTGTTTTACCACATTAGCTTTTCTTGAGAATCGAAGTGGTGAAATATCGAAATATACTTTTCAAACATTCCTGCTCAAAACATCATATTCCAAACAACGCCTTCACACGAAAGAAAAAAAGCTTAGTTCTTAGTGCACCTGATAAGATTATTTTTATTCCAAGCATCGTCAATCAATGTCAGCTTAGACAAGTATAGATATTACATGCTCGTAAGTTAGTATATCAAAGCCTTTTTGTTTCTGCAAACCCATCTGTGCAAACAATACGTCACTATTGCATAGACATTGACACGGGGTGCTTTTTATTAATTCGATTTCTTATGTGAAAAAGCGTTTTGGTGACCACTGACCCAGCCTACGTGTAGCCGTACCCTCCCCTTTCCCCCTCCCCCCCCCAAAAGTGATCGTGTTCTGTGATGTCACTCTTGCAAGAAAATGTATAATGACTTTTCATTGGTTAACCTCTCTTGCCGATTTTTTCGTCAATTCTGATTGGCTAGAATTGGTAATTTATTTTCAAACTAACGAACCGGACGTTGAACAGAAGTCTTTGATGGTCAACTTTTCAGACAACAGCGATGTACGACTAGGTTTTAAGGCAAGTTTGCACGACTTTTGGGATAGAGACATCTCAAGATGAACAGCAGAAAGTCATAAATATGTTTTTGGAAGGTAACGATGTCTCCATTTCGTTATCAATTGGCTATGAAAAATCTTTAATATATCAAGCAGCGCCAGTGACCGATCATCTCTCTTCTTTAGAAGAAACTGGTCACTATGTCTATTGTGCCGCCCGTTAAAGCTCTCGCAAAAGACCAGGTGCACTATCGTAATGTGTTTGGGCCAAAAGGACTGTCCGCCTTTAACCTTCGGTCTCTTTGCGAACGGTGTTGCGAAGCTATTAAGTACGTGTCAGGCTGCCGGACGTTGAGTCACTTAATCAATTTAAAGGTAGTTGTTTCTTGCAGCGATTCTTTCGGCTGAGAAAAAAATCACTCTTTCTTCACGCTTGTAGTGTGACTTTCTCTTAAAGAAATCTTTAAAAACCTTGAGACTGCGGCAAATGATCCAACTTTTTTCGTCGACCGTGGCACTGTTTACAAATGCAAGCAGAAACCGCGTGCATTTCATAAGCGCGATGCTAATCGAACATCGTCCTCTTCTTACTCTATACCAAAAGTCGCTCATAATCTTTCCCTATATCCTTAAAGCAAAATATTTATTTGAAATCGGACGCTGAATTTCAAATTTACCTGAAAAATGGAAAATGAATTCACTTCAGTGTTGTTGCTTATCTCGATAACCATCACGCTAACACGTGCCACTTCGCAAAAATGGCATTATTTTGCATAAATTGGAATGAAGTCACTGAACACGAAAAGTGTCAGGTTTGCGTAAACGTTCCGTCGCCTCCGTTTCACCTGGGAGGTGGGGGAGGGTAGGGCTACACGTAGGCTACTGAACAAACTTCTTCTGGACACATCCAAGAGACTGGACAAAGAGTAATAAAAACTTCCTTGGGCTCCGTGTGAACGGCCGAATTTTCAACCTTTCATGGGTAGTACACTGTATGTTGCTTTAAACACGATTAATTGGTTTATTTTAATACTGCCAATATTTAACCAGACTGGCCCAGTTTAGGAGCAAAATGGTTCAAATATGGGCCTTGCGCAAACAAAGTTTACCCGAAGGGGTCATTGGGCCAAATGAGAAGATACTCGCTATTTCATTTTTTCGGCCGATTCTCGATGTTTCAAATCAATGCTCATAGGTGCTAAATTCTTGCTGGATAAACTTTTTTCAATTCATTGTAATGAGATTTTTAAAGATAAAAGTTAAGCTCCACTCAGGTCGTCACGATGCCACCCCCGATAGGGAGGAAGATCCGCCTCGGGATGTTTGGCAGGGATTATCTACCCAGACCCTATTTCAGATATAAGAAGTGCTATTTCTATATTTAGTTTTGTACCTGGCCTCTAATTCTACACCAGACAAATTTTGTTTGGTTTGAGAATCCTTTACGCTATGTTGTAGAAGAATTTGAAAAGGCTTGTATCAGTGCCGAAGTTAAGAAGTTACAAAAATCACCCAAAAATATATTTTTCATACTTGTGTTTCACTTTGATTCATGTTGAAAAATCAATTACGTTTACACACTTGTGTGGTTTTCTTGAAAACTATACCTTATTTTAAACCAAAATGGTAAAAATGTACACCGACCTGTCTTTGTACCAGAACGGCTTAAAAACCACATATCTGGGGGCACCATATACCTCTATTAACCAGTACTCCTTCTCACCTATCACGCAGATTAAGTGTTAACGTCGTAAACTCAAACCATCGTTGATAATGACAAATAATTTTTTCCACAAGTTGGCAAAATTCCGAAACGGTCACAACTAGCTTCCAACAATTAGCCTACATTAACTTAGCAATTTAGTGTTATCAGCTGACTTGATAGCGCCACTGTAGAGAGTTTGAACGCTTTTGAACTGAACTCTTTAAGGTGGCTAATTGACGTTATCAACTGAATTGATAACACTAAATCACCCTGTCATACTCTCCCACCGACGCAGCACCACAGTTTCTTTAGAAACTTACCTCCTTTATGCATTAACTTAGGATACAGTTAATCGATTAATAAACAAGTTAACTTCATCTAATGTCCACAAGTATAGAATGCGACCATCTTATCAACTACTTTGTTTCACTATTTCCAAATCATTTAAATCTAACATCCAAATAACTTTTGTTCAAAGGTCCATAAGGCTAATGTCACGAAAATCAATCGAGAGGGACATGTCGGTTATAAAGCCTTAAAACTGAGAGACAACAACGCTTTTAAACTGACATAAGAAAGAAGGGTCGGGAAACGTTGTACGCACGCAAAGCACATCATAATTTAACTTGTGGCGCGTAAATGGTAGCTACACCTTCACCCTTTTCTCCCCTCCCCCGGATGGTGACAGTATGTTTCTTTAAGTTCCCAGGACATTCTAAAGCACATTCAAGGCATGCAGCTCGTGGATATTGCAACAAACTAATTCCCTGTGACTTTCACTGATTTAGGTCAATGTAATCTTGTAAGGCTAAATTTTCTTAATTTTGTTTGACCCTTTACCTCCCATGAGTAACCAATAGAAAAATTTTTCCTCACAATAACAAATAGCCTGCGTTGCCGGCGGTCTGCGGTTTTTTTCTCCGCCCACAAGACCGCAAACCACCAGCAACGCAGGCTAAATAACAAGACCATATCAGGCCTAGAAGTGATGGGAAAAAACAAAAATATCAATAAGGGGATTATTAGTTGTTCCATTACCACATTCTCCAAATAGACATCATAAAAATTGTAAAGCAGAAAGTAAGGAGAATAAGTAATGAGATCTTGGAGTTTAGGGGTTACAGATTTTCAGTTGAAGAATTCTGCAACCAAGCTACAGCCATCCGTCCGTTCTGCCGTCCTTAAGCCAGTCTATCCCTTCGCCTCTCAATCAGTCCATCCGTCTTTATTTCGCGTGTCTGTCTGTCTGTCTGTCTGTCTCTCTGATTGATCTCTACTTCCCTTCAGTAGCTTGAGATCTTCTGTGGGCTGGCTGACCGATTTGTTTTTTGGTGGTCACTAACCGACTACCTCATTCTCCCTAAAGGCGTAGAAAACCTTATCCTCATGTAAACCTATAGTTTCCTTCGAAACAAATATTTCGGAGCAAATATTGGTGATTGTTAATCACGTTCGGGTACGTTCAGCTTAGTTTTCTAATCTTGTCGAATGCGCAAGAAAGACAAGGAATGGGCTGAGCAACGAAAATACCCACCAAATAGGAAGGAGTCCAGGAATTAAAAAACTGGCACCTCTTTTAGGATTACAGCTGATTGTTTGAATACACTCTTGCAGTGCTTTATTTCTACATATCAGAAATCAACTAAGTGGTAATGTGCACACCGAGGATTAATGCATTGAGAATGAATGCCTTTAAAATCCTAATTACTTTTGGCCTAGTATTCAAACGGTTGGATTAGCACACAATTGACAATTGTGTTACTAAAAGTGGACCAAATAGTTTCGCTCGAGGCTAGAATTTGTTCTCTAGGTGAGTTGTTGTGTTGTCAGGAATGTGATTTTTTTAACAAGAACAGTTGAAAGCAAAACATGCAAGCCCTTAACAGTCTTGCAGTGCTTTATTTCTACATATCAGAAATCAACTAAGTGGTAATGTGCACACCGAGGATTAATGCATTGAGAATGAATGCCTTTAAAATCCTAATTAATTTTGGCCTAGTATTCAGACGGTTGGATTAGCACACAATTGACAATTGGGTTACTAAAAGTGGACCAAATAGTTTCGCTCGAGGCTAGAATTTGTTCTCTAGGTGAGTTGTTGTGTTGTCAGGAATGTGTTTTTTTTTAACAAGAACAGTTGAAAGCAAAACATCCAAGCCCTTAACAGTCTTGCACTGCTTTATTTCTACATATCAGAAACTAACTAAGTGGTAATGTGCACATCGAGGATTAGGTTTATTATTATTGCACTTTCGGTAAAGCATGATAATATCTTTCAATCCATATGTGAGTTCAGAAACCTTTAAAAATCCCATCACAAATGCTAAAATAAGCTAAAATATTTATTTTTACAGTCTTGCATTGCTTTATTTCTACATATCAGCTTAGATTGATGGATGTACGGTTGCAATTTTCGATTTAACTGCAATACTTTTAGTATCCAAACCTGGCGTTTGACCTCTCGTATCGAACTTGATATTTACTCCAGGGCGAAATATCAGTAGATGCGTGGACCCACCATAGTGAAACATGCCGAGCTGGTCACCTTTCTTCACTTTATCCTTTTCTTCAACGGTGATTTCGTTGGAAGACACCTCTGACATACCGATTGATACGAAGCACATCAAGCCAATATCGGGATTGTCAGCTTTAATGTAGATAATACCTCTGGAAGCTACTTGGGCTAGGTATGCTTGTGACATGTTGGGCGATGTAGGGTCATCCTGGATGTCGTGGGTTGCAGAATAATAAGAACCATCCACGAGTTCTATCTTGTAAATGGCGCCCGACACAGGACTGTGCCATCGGTGATAACTGGTGGCACTTAGGAACGCTTGGTAAACGGTTCCACCATGAAATTGCTTGGCAAGGTCACTCATGTTCAGTATGAAGTCCAATGAGTACCGTTGGTGCTTTATCCAGAAGAAGTCCCTGTGTTTCACGGCTGTAGAGATTTGATATGGCGCCGACTCACAGGCATTCGCAACAATGGAATCGTCGTCCGGAGATTCTACTGGACGAATGCCATCACGAAACTCTCTGGTGAAGAAGTCATCCCATGATGTAAAACCGTAATGTTTTCATTAGGCTTGCATTTGAAGTCTTGGACGAAGTTTGGAATTGCTTGCATTGCATCTTCACCAAACCAACCATGACGAGGATCATCATTCAATACGTAACAAGAAGCAGAACTGGAAAGAAACTTTCCCCAATAGTTGAGAATACTTTTGAACAACCTGTTGACTTTGTCGTTGAGGAAAGCAGCAAATCCAGCAGTCGTAGCCATCGGCCAGTTCAGGATTACATTAATGGGGAAGCCAACCAAACCAGATTCGTTGTACTCTGGAGCTGTGGTCATGATGTAGTCGATTAAAATAATCATAAGTTGCCAGGAAGGGATCCTTGTTCCTAGCGAACTATCTCGAATCTTGGACTGTTGCCAGAACATCTGATAGAAGAACATGTTGATCTCGGGATCGGAGATGATAGCTTTCAATAATTCTTGAACGGGTGGATGGAGACCGAGGTCTTCCTCTGTACCGTGAGCAACTATCGGCGGAGTTTCACCACTAGCTGTTTCTTTATCTTCAGCTGGTGGATGAAGAGCCATCAATAACGCTAACTTATCTTTGTATTTAGTTTGGACTTCTATGATCAAGTTGGCTAACCATTTGTCAGGAAATTTGTGGTCAGAGGGAATCCATTGAGCAACACGGTAAGGTTTGGAGCTCATGATCATGTTGCATGTAGTTCGCGGCTTGTTTTGCTCGTAAATGATATACTCTTTATGAATGGTCTGCTTTTAACTGTAATATCGATTTTATCGCGCAAGCGCAAATGACGCTAGTTTGAGTTTTAGCAATGATTTAGCAAAACTTAATGAGATGGTTAGAAACAAAACTTGGAATACGCGTGTGTGGAACTGCGCTTGTGAAGCCTTTGTCTGGAAATTTTGACCATTATGTAAAAATGTTCTCAAAAAAGCCATTTATTATACTACTAACCACAAAATGGTAATTATTTGATGATATATACGTAATAAAACAATACTGCATATCCATGACAAAAGAACTCTCGGAAACACTTTCCACGGATTTACGTTGTTAGAGAAACACGAACTTGAAGACTGATCAATTCTTGCAAACTTCTTTCTCACAACCTGATGTAAAGATCATATTCAAAATATGTTGAGAGCGTAAGATACACTTAATTCGTAGCCAAACGCAGTTTAAATGAGAGTTATATCACATCTTAGCACGAGTAAACTTATTCCAATTCTTGAACCTGTAACGTTTATGACGCTTGTTTAACTGACTCCTGTTTTACCACATTAACTTTGATTGACAATCAGAGCGGTGAAATATTGAAATATTCTTTTTAAACATTCCTGCTAACAACATCATCTTCCAAACAACGCCTTCACACGAAGAAAAAAAGCTTAGTTCTTGGTGCACTTGATAAAGTTGTTTTCATTCCAAGCATCGTCAATCAATGTCAGTTTAGACAAGCATAAGGTATTACATGCGCGTACGTTAGTATATCAAAGCCTATTTGTTTCTGCAATCCCAGTGGTTTAAATAACACGTCAATATTGCGTAGACATTGACATGTAGCGCTTTTTCTTGATAAGATTGCTTATGTGGAAAAGCGTTTTGGTGACAACTGATCTAGCCTTCGTAAAGCTGTACCCTCCCCTCCTCCCCCCAAGGTAAAACGGAGGCGAGGTAACGTCTACCCAAACCTGACATTAATCGTGTTCCGTGACGTCACTCTTTCTCAAGAAAATGTATAATGACTTTTTATTGGCTAACCTCTCTTGCCAATTCTTTCGTCAATTTTGGTTGGCTAGAGTTGGTAATTTAACTAACGAAGCAGACGTTGAACAAAACTCTTTCATGGTCAACTTTTCAGACAACAGCGATGTACGACAAGGCAAGTTTGCGCGACTTTTGAGATAGAGACATTTCAAGAAGAACAGCAGAAAGCCATAGATATATTTTTGGAAGGTAACGATGTCTCCATTTCGTTACCAACTGGCTATGGAAAATCTTTAATATATTAAGGAGCGCCAGTGATCGATCACCTCTCTTCTCTAGAAGGAACCGGTCACTATATCTACCGTGCCGCCCGTTAAAGCTCTCATAGAAGACCAGGTGCACTATCTTAATGTACTTGAACCAAGAGGATTGTCCGCTTTCAACCTTCGGTCTTTTCGCGAATGGTGCTGTGAATTTATTAAGACCGTGTCCGGCTGCCGGACGTTCAGTCACTTAATTTAAAGCTAGTTGTTTCTTGCAGCGATTCTTTCGACTGAAAAAAGAGTAGCCCTTTCTTCACACTTGCGGCGTAACTATCCCTTAAAGAAATATGTAAGAACCTTGAGACTGCGGCAAATTATTCAACTTTTTTCGTCGACCGTGGTACTGTTTACAAATGCAAGCAGAAACCGCGTGGATTTCATGAGTACGATGCCAATCGAACATCGTCCTCTTCTTAATCTATGCCAAAAATGGCTCACAATCTTTTCCTATATCCTTAAAGCAAAGTATTTATTTGAAATCGAGCGCTTATTTGGAAATTTACCTGAAAAATGGAAAATGAATTCACTTCAGTGTTGTTGTTTATCTCGATAACCTTCACGCTAACACGTGCCGCTTCACAAAAAAATATTATCAAATGACATTAATTTGCATAAATTAGAGTGACGTCACGGAACACAATTAGCGTAGACGCTCTCTCTTCTCCGTTTCACCCTAAGGGGGGGGAAATGCGGCTACACGTAGGCTACTGATCAAACCTCTTCTGAACACATCCAAGAGACTGGACAAAGAGAAAAACTTCCCGGGTCTGAATGGTCGAATATTTAACTTTTTATGGGTAGCACACTGTATGTTGCTTTACCCACGATGTCCACAGCTTTGTGGTTTTAAATAATTAATAAGTTTATTTTTTATACTGCCAACATTTAACCAGGCTGGCCCAGTTCAGGAACAAAGTAGTTTAAAATATGGGCCTTGTGCAGACAAAGTTTACCAGGAGGGTCGCTTTTCTATAACAAATCGATCAACTCTTAACTGCATCCAATGTCCAGAAGTTTTGTATAGAATGCGACCATCTTACCAACTGCTTTGCTTCACTATCTCCAAAATATATAAATCTAACATCCAAATAACTTTTGCTGAAAGGTCCACAAGACTAATGTCACTAGAGACAACAACGCTTTTAACTCTTTAACTCCCGCGAGTGACCAAGGGAAAACTTCTCCTTACTATATCTATACAATATCATGCAGACAGGTAGTGAGAATAAAGAAAAATTTCAAATATGGGATTACTAATTGATCCAATACCAAAGTCTCCAAACCAACATGATGAGAATCGTTTAGCAGGCGGTAAGGAGAATTACCAATGAGATCTTGGGGTTTGAAGGGTTAAACTCACATGAGAAAGAAGGGGCGGGAAAAGTAATAGGCACGCGAAGCACATAAAACACATTCAAGTCATCTTCAGCTCGTGGATATTGCAACAGACTAATCTCCTGTGACTTTCATTGATTTAGGTCAATGTAATCTTGTAAGGCTGAATTTTCTTAATTTTGTTTGACCCTTTACCTCCTATGAGTGACCAATAGAAAAATTTTCCTCACAATATTTAGACAATATCAAGCCTAGAAGCGATTGGAATAACTAAAAATATCAATTAGGGGATTTTTAGTTGTTCCATTACCAAATTCTCCAATTGAAATCATAAAAATTGTATGGCAGAAAGTAAGGGGAAGAACTAATGAGATCTTGGAGTTGAAGGGTTATAGATTTTCAGTTGAAGATTCTGCGACCAAGCTACAGCCAGCTAAGTGCTCAATTGCAATACTATATTTTAGGGTTCGTTTACCTGCCCAAAAGTCCATGTATTGCCAACCGCCATTTTGTGCTTTCGACGACGCTTTTAATCTTTTTTAAATTATGTAAAGTCTCTCGAAATATATCTTACTTCAGTTGGTTGCACATATTTGGATTGAGCCCCGTCTTGTCTAAGAATAATGCCATCCCTTCAAAAATGAGTCAAATTAACTCTGTATGAAGAATTGAAGTTTCTTATTCATTGAAGGCTGCATATTGCTAAAGTCAGTCTTAAAATATTTGTTTAATGTCGAATCCCCTAGGGATTATGCTGGATGCAAAATCAGATTATTAAAACTGTTCGAATTGAATGCGGTTCTCTTTAAAGATACTAAGCCTATGATGATGACTTATTTAATTCGTCACAATTTGTTCGGCTTGACTAACAACAGCGCAATGTTTAGATCATCTTGAAAATCTCTTAGAAAACTAAAGCTTAAATTCCCGGCTTGGGCCTAAAGAAGGTTTCTATTTAATATATAAATATATTTATATAGATATAAAGGGTCTTGATATTAGCAGGCAAGTCAAGAATTTAAAGAAAGCGACAAAACTTTTAAGTCTGTAATACATGTTTCGACAGAAGCGTTGTCGCGCGACAATGTGCCTTGTGTTCAGCAGATAGCTTCCATGTTTTGGATCACGCCTCTACCGGTTTCCAACTCAAGATAAATGAAGCTAATCATATTCAAAAAGAACAACCATCCTTGAATCAACAATTACACCATGTAAATCTAAAACTATACTTTCTATTCTCAGACTTTCATGCTTTACTTATTTTCTTGATGTCACCATTTATCATAATTAGCATTATGTTACTTACTCTATAAATTGAACTTCCAACGCTTTGCACATTAATTAATTAAAGATGACAGAAGTTCCTGTCGAAACATGTATTACAAACTTAAAAGTTTTGTCGCTTTCTTTAAAATACATATATACATACATACATACATACATACATACATACATATATATATATATATATATATATATATATATATATATATATATATATATATCAAAGAATGCCTTTCAAATCCTAATTACTTTTGGCCTAGTATTCAAACAGTTGGGTTAGCACACAATTGACAATTCTGTTACTAAAAATGGACCAAACAGATTCGCTCGAGGCTAGAATTTGTTCTCCTGATGAGGTGTTGTGTGGAATGTAATGTTTTTAACAAGAACAATTGAAAGCAAAACAAAGCCCTTAACACTCTTGGAGTGCTTTATTTCTACATATCAGAAATCCACTAAGTGGTGATGTGCACATCAAGGATTAAGTTTACTATTATTGCACTTTCGGTAAAGCATGGGAATATCTTTCACTCCAAATGTGAGTTAAGAAACTTTTGGTTAGTAATTATTTTTAAAAATCCCATCACAAATGCTAGAATAAGTGATTAAATGCTTCGGTTTGAAAATACACCATCAATTATTAGACATGCTCGTGGCACAAAAAGATTTGCCTGAAAAACGTCCAAACTTCGATGGCTAAAACCTTGAACAAAATTTCCCAAGGACTAGCGAAAACGCGGCCAGCGATGACAATTATCGTACAACAGGCCTATTACATCGGTCGAGGACCAACTACCGAAAAGGTGTGGTCTTGCAACACATAACAAATCAAGGCTCACAAGACTCACATAAGGGTTGCAAAATAATCTAACAGGCCTAAATAATTCACAAACACTAAGCCAGAATATTTCTAGTTTTAGTAGTTGCCAAATACTACTAAATTTAGTGGTTCATAACAATTGACGAAGTGAAAATGAAAAAACTTAATTTCCTTATTTTCAAAAGACATTTTCAATGAGGAAAGAAAGAAAATTATCATGTTGACACCGAACACTGACAAAATCAAGCTGTTTATCAACAGCCTTACTTATGTTTGCTTAGATTGATGGATGTAGGGTCGCAATTTTCGATTTTACTAGAATATTTTTGGTATCCAGACCGGGTGTTTGACCTCTAGTATCGAACTTGATATTTACTCCAGGGCGAAATATCAGTAGATGCGTGGACCCACCATAGTGAAACATGCCGAGCTGGTCACCTTTCTTCACTTTATCCTTTTCTTCAACGGTGATTTCGTTGGAAGACACCTCTGACATACCGATTGATACGAAGCACATCAAGCCAATATCGGGATTGTCAGCTTTAATGTAGATAATACCTCTGGAAGCTACTTGGGCTAGGTATGCTTGTGACATGTTGGGCGATGCAGGGTCATCCTGGATGTCGTGGGTTGCAGAATAATAAGAACCATCCACGAGTTCTGTCTTGTAAATGGTGCCCGACACAGGACTGTGCCATCGGTGATAACTGGTGGCACTTAGGAATGCTTGGTAGACGGTTCCACCATGAAATTTGGCAAGGTCACTCATGTTCAGGATGAAGTCCAATGAGTACCGTTGGTGCTTTATCCAGAAGAAGTCCCTCTTTTTCACGGCGGTAGAGATCTGATATGGCGCCGACTCACAAGCATTCGCAACAATGGAATCGTCGTCCGGAGATTCTACAGGACGAATGCCATCACGAAACTCTCTGGTGAAGAAGTCATCCCATGATGTAAAACCATAATATTTTTGATCAGGCTTGCATTTGAACTCTTGGACGAAGTTTGGCATCTCTTGCATTGCGTCCTTACCAAACCAACCATGACGGGGACACTCATTCAACACGTAACAAGAAGCAGAACTGGAAAAAAACTTTCCCCAATAGTTGAGAATACTTTTGAACAACGCGTTGACTTTGTCGTTGAGGAAAGCAGCAAATCCAGCAGTCGTAGCCATCGGCCAGTTCAGGATAACATTAATGGGGAAGCCAACCAAACCGGTTTTGTCGTACTTTGGAGTTGTTGTCATGATGTTGTTGATTAAAATGATCATATGTTGCCAGCTAGAGATCCTTGTTCCTGTCGAACTATTTGGATTCTTGTTCTGTTGACAGAACATCTGATTAAAGAACATGTTGATCTCGGGATCGGAGATGATAGCTTTCAATAAATCTTGAACGGGTGGATGGAGACCGAGGTCTTCCTCTGTACCGTAAGCAACTACCAGTCGAGTTTCACCACAATCTGTCTCTTCATTTACAGCTGGTGGATGAAGAGCCATCAATAACTCTAACTTATCTCCGTATTTAGTTTGGACTTCCGTGGTTGAGTTGGCTAACCGTTTGTCAGTAACTTTCTGGTCAGAAGGAATCCATTGACCAACACGGTAAGGTTTGGAGCTCATGATTATGTTGCATGCAGTTCGCGGCTCGTTTTGCTCGTAAATGATATACTACTGTTGAAAGTGTCTGCTTTTAACTGCAAGCGAAACTGACGCTGGGATGCGTGTGGGTGGAAATGTGCTTGAGAAGCCTTTATCTGGAAATGTTTCCTGCCTGATAAAGGATAAAAGCGCTTTGTTCAGATGACAGGCCCTTTCATACCGTGACCATCAAGAGGTTGTTAAGTGTGAAAGGCATAAGCTATGTTCCGGGTGAATACTTTCCAAACGAGGGGTCATTTTATCTCGAGCTTTAGATTACAACGAACTGAAATGGTTCACTGAAATAGATGCTCTTTTTTGTCTGTTTGAATATTATTGTGGGATTTGGCTTAAGACAAATTATCCCGAGGAAGAACAATTTGGCTTTCAATAGTCCTCCAGTAGTTCGTGGATCATAACATAAATGTCAACCTGATTTAAATATCACATTCAAAATATGTTGAGGTACCAGGATACAATTAATTCGTATCCAAACGCAGTTTAAATGAGATTTCTATCAAAATATTAGAATGAGTAAACTTATTCCAATTCTTTATACTGTAACGTTTATGACGCTTGTTTAACTGATTCCTGTTTTACCACATTAGCTTTGACTAAGAATCAGAGCGGTGAAATATCGAAATATTCTTTTCAAACATTCCTGCTAACAACATCACATTCCAAACAACCCTTCACACGAAGAAAAAAAGCTTAGTTCTCAGTGCACCTGATAAGGTTATTTTCATTCCAAGCATCGTCAATCAATGTCAGTTTAAGCAAGTAGAAGATATTACATGCGCGTACGTTAGTATACCAAAGCCTTTTTGTTTCTGCAAACCCAACAGTTCAAATAACACGTATATATTGCATAGAAATCGACATGCAGCGCTTTTTCTTAATAAGATTGCTTATGTGAAAAAGCGTTTTGGTGACCACTGATCTAGCCTACACATGTAGCTGTACACTCCCCTCCCCTTCCCCCCCGTCAAGGTGAAACGGAGGCGAGGTACCCAAACCTGACACTAGTTGTGTTCCGTGACGTCACTCTTTTGCAAGAAAATGTATAATGACTCTTTATTGGTTAACTTCTCTTGTCGAATTTCGTCAATCCTGATTGGCTAGAGTTGGTAATTTATTTTCAAACTAACAAACCAGACGGTGAACAAAAGTCTTTCATGGTCAATTTTTTAGACAACAGCGATCATCCACAAGGTTTTAAGGCAAGTTTGCGCGACTTTTGGGATAGAGACATCTCAAGAAAAACCGCAGAAAGCCATAGATATGTTTTTGGAAGGTACCGATGTCTCCATCTCGTTACCATCTGGCTATGGAAAATCTTTAATATATCAAGCAGCGCCAGTAAAGGATCGCCTCTCTTCTCTAGAAGAAACCGGTCACTATATCTATTGTACCGCCCGTTAAAGCTCTCGCAGAAGACCAGGTGCACCATCTTAATGTACTTAGGCCAAGAGGACTGTCCGCCTTCAACCTTCGGTCTTTCTGTTAACGGTGCTGCGAATTTATTAAGGCCGTGTCCGGCTGCCGGACAAAGCAAAATATTTATTTCAAATCGGACGCTGAATTGAAAATTTACCCGAAAAATGGAAAATGAATTCACTTCAGTGTTGTTGTTTATCTCGATAACCTTCACGCTAACACGTGCCACTTCGCAAAAAAAAATATTATCATATGGCATTATTTTGCATAAATTAGGATGAAGTCACGGAGGACGAGAAGTGTCAGGTTTGCGTAGACATTCCCTCACCTCCGTTTCACCTTGGGGGTGGGGAAGGGTACGGCTACACGTAGGCTACTGATCAAACTTCTTCAGGACACATCTAAGAGACTGGACAAAGAGTCATTAAAACTTCCCAGGGCTCCGTCTGAATGGCCGACTTTTCAACTTTTCATGGGTAGGACACTGTATGTTGCTTTAAATACGATGTCCAGAACTTTGTGGGTTTCATTAATTAATTAGTTTATTTTAATACTGCCAATATTTAACCAGGCTGGCCCAGTTCAGGAGCAAAATATGGGCCTTGTGCAAACAAAGTTTACCAGAAGGGGTCATTGGGCCAAATGAGAAGATACCCGTTATTTCATTTTTTCGGCCGATTCTCGATGTTTCAAATAAATGCTCATGGGTGCTAAATTCTTGCTGGATAACTTTTTTTCAATTCGTCGTAATGAGATTTTTAAAGATAAAAGTTAAGCTCCACTCAGGTTGTCACGATGCCACCCCGGATAGGGAGGGGGGTCCGCCTCGGGATGTTTGGCAGAGATTATCCACCCAGACCCTATTTTCAGATAAAAAAAGTGCTATTTCTATATTTAGTTTTGTACCTGGCCTCTAATATCCACACCAGACAAATTTTGCTTGGTTTGAGAATCCTTTACGCTATGTTGTAGAAGAATTTGAAAAGGCTTGTATCAGTGCCGAAGTTAAGAAGTTACAAAAATCACCCAAAAATATATTTTTCATACTTGTGTTTCACTTTGATTCATGTTGAAAAATCAGTTATGTTTATACACTTGTGTGGTTTTCTTGAAAACTATTCCTAATTTTAAACCAAAATGGTAAAAATGTACACCGACCTGTCTTTGTACCAGAACGGCTTAAAAACCACATATCTGGGGGCACCATATACCTCTATAACTTATTTATTACCAGTACTCCTTCTCACCTATCACGCAGATTAAGTGTTAACGTCGTAAACTCAAACCATCGTTGATAATGACAAATAATTTTTTCCACAAGTTGGCAAAATTCCGAAACGGTCATGATTAGCTTCCAACAATTAGCCTACATTAACTTAGTAATTTAGCATTATCAGCTGACTTGATAGCGCAAATTGGCCACTGTAGAGAATTTGAACGCTTTTGAACTGAACTCTTTAAGGTGGCTAATTGACGTTATCAACTGAATTGATAACACTAAATCACCCTGTCATACTCTCCCACCGACGCAGCACCACAGTTTCTTTAGAAACTTACCTCCTTTATGCATTAACTTAGGATACAGTAAATCGATTAACAAACAAGTTAACTGCATCCAATGTCCACAAGTATAGAATGCGACCATCTTATCAACTACATTGTTTCACTATTTCCAAAACATTTAAATCTAACATCAAAATAACTTTTGTTCAAAGGTCCATAAGGCTAATGTCACGAAAATCAATCGAGAGGGACATGTCGATTATAAAGCCTTAAAACTGAGAGACATCAACGCTTTTAAACTGACATAAGAAAGAAGGGTCGGTAAAAGTTGTACGTACGCAAAACACATCATAATTTAACTTGTGGCGCGTAAATGGTAGCTACATATTCACCCTTTTCTCCCCCCCTGGATGGTGACAGTATGTTCCTTTAAGTTTCCCAGAACATTCTAAAGCACATTCAAGGCATGCAGCTCGTGGATATTGCAACAAACTAATCCCCTGTGACTTTCACTGATTTAGGTCAATGTAATCTTGTAAGGCTAAATTTTCTTAATTTTGTTTGACCCTTTACCTCCCATGAGTAACCAAAAGAAAAATTTTTCCTCACAATAACAAATAGTCTCCGTTGCTGGCGGTCTGCAGTTTTTTTCTCCGCCCACAAGACCGCAAACCACCAGCAACGCAGGCTAAATAACAAGACCATATCAGGCCTAGAAGTGATGGGAAAAAACAAAAATATCAATTAGGGGATTATTAGTTGTTCCATTACCACATTCTCCAAATAGACATCATAAAAATTGTAAAGCAGAAAGTAAGGAGAATAACTAATAAGATCTTGGAGTTCAAGGGTTACAGATTTTCAGTTGAAGAATTCTGCAACCAAGCTACAGCCAGCTAAGTACTCAATCGTAATACTATATCTTAGCGGTACGTTTACCTGCGCAAACATCCATGTATCTTTTTTTCCCGAACATTTATTCAATCATCTGTATGTTAATCCACCCATCCACGGCTTCATCCCTCGATCCATCCGTCCGTTCTGCCGTCCTTAAGCCAGTCTATCCCTTCGCCTCTCCATCAGTCCATCCGTCTTTATTTCGCATGTCTGTCTGTCTGTCTCTCTGATTGATCTCTCCTTCCCTTCAGTAGCTTGAGATCTTCCGTGGGCTGGCTGACCGATTTGTTTTTTGGTGGTCACTAACCGACTACTTCATTCTCCCTACAGGCGTAGAAAACCTTATCCTCATGTAAACCTATAGTTTCCTTCGAAACAAATATTTCGGAGCAAATATTGGTGATTGTTAATCACGTTCGGGTACGTTCAGCTTAGTTTTCTAATCTTGTCGAATGCACAAGAAAGACAAGGAATGGGCTTAGCAACGAAAATACCCACAAAATAAGAAGGAGTTCAGGAATTCAAAAACTGGCACCTCTTTTAGGATTACAGCTGATTGTAATGCAAGCTCCTTTGAATACACTCTTGCAGTGCTTTATTTCTACATATCAGAAATCAACTAAGTGGTAATGTGCACACCGAGGATTAATGTATTGAGAGTGAATGCCTTTAAAATCCTAGTTACTTTTGGCCTAGTATTCAAACGGTTGGATTAGCACACAACTGACAATTGTGTTACTAAAAGTGGACCATCAACAGGTTGTTGAGGGTTGGCCTCCGTTGGTAATATCTCGGAGTGTAAAAGGCATTATCCTACGTTCCGCGTGAACTAAGCAAAGTAAAACATTTTGGAGACGTCTACATGCAGATTTTGTTATCGGAGTATAGAAGAATAAGGGAATAACTGCGTTTCACCCACTTTCTGAGGGTCATTTTTTCTTGAACTTTATCATAATGAACTGAGCAGTGGTTCAACGAAATAGACACTCTTTGTTGTCTGTTTAAATATCCGAGATGCGTGTCTTTGTTTGGATCATTGTGGGATTTGACCTAAGACAAATTATCCCGAGGAAGAACATTTTGGCTTTCAATAGTCCTCCAGTATGTAGTCCGTGGATCAAAACATTAATAATGTCAACCTGATTTAAAGATCACATTCAAAATATGTTGAGGTAGTAAGAAACAATTAATTCGTAGCCAAATGCAGTTTAAATGAGAGTTATATCACATCTTATAATGAGTAGACTTATTCCACTTCTTGAAATTGTAACGTTTATGACGCTTGTTTAACTGACTCCTGTTTTACCATATTAGCTTTGATTGAGAATCAGAGCGGTGAAATATCGAAATATCATAACATAAATGTAAACCTGATTTAAAGATCACATTAAAAAATATGTTGAGAGAGTAAGATACAATTAATTCGTAGCCAAATGCAATTTAAATGAGGGTTCTACCA